TGGGAACTGTTGAGGACGAGCGACTTTCAAGGCTGCTGTGGCTCAACTACCTCTCTGGTAAGAAGGTTGCGTCAGAGGAGGCCAGGAAGAACATCATCAATGGCGTCATGGAGTTTGTCGAAAGACCTGTTGGTACAGTTGCCACCCAGGTTTTGTGAGAGGGTCAAACCACAGCAAAAAGATGTACATTACGGAAATTAAGCCATGTATCACTAGGCACAAGCCAGCAAGTCTTTGTAAAGGGTCATGAATTCAACTCATCTGGGTCATCCACCCATCTTGTAATACCGTCTAATCTTCAGGTGCAACCGATATCTATATGCCGCATACGGTCTACAGAGACATGTCTAGAGCTTGGAACTGAAGCATCATTTGCCCTTAGCCCAACGTGCCCGACATTTGTTTTGATGTTTCTTACGCCTTCAGGGCACCGGCCTCCTTGAGCAGGGAAGCAAGCTTTCCACCAGACTTTAAGCTCTGAACGTCAGAGTTGCCGCCAATGTGCTGCTGCTTGATGTAGACATTGGGAACAGTGCGCTGGCCAGAGATTTGCTCAAGAGCGTCCTGGAGGGCAGAACCGTCGGCTACAAGGCGTTAGAAACCGTTATTTTGATGCAATAGCTGTGAACTGTAAAACTTACAAACTTCGTCAAGCTCGAGGAGCTCGTACTCAGCGTTGAGCTCATCCAGAGTCTTCTTGGTCTGCTTGCAGTAAGGGCAGTAAGACTTGGAGAAGACAACTACGAGGGGTTCATTAGCAGGGGTCCAAACGCGGGGCGCAAAACATGGAGATAAAACGTACCAACAGAGTTGTTGTCGATGAGCTGCTGAACCTTGGTGGATGCTTGAGTCATTGTGCCTGGGCTTGTTGCGCGAGTGAAGAATGATCTAAAGAAATTCATAGAGGAGAGCGAGATGGCTTTGATGTAGGAGAAGGGGAAAGTGGGGTGGAGGTATTTATTCTACGTCAGAGAGAGGTTGATTTGGCTGTACTGGGCTGTAATGCTGGGCTGTGAAAGGCGAGTTTGCTTTGTCATGGGCGTTTGAGTGGAATTAATTCGGCGACCATGAAAAATACGATGATGCAATGTGCTAGATTTTCGGGATTAGGTAATCATGTTTTTTGGAATCATTGTCTTGAGGTGGTTCACTCATCATCGCCTCGGCTGTGCAGCTGTATGTTGGTGGTATATTTGTCTTGTGAATGTAATCACTTACAGATACAATATAAACAGGACGTGATGATTCCAGTTGGTGTTTAGACTTGTTCAGTCATCATCTTGTGTAAGTGCTTATGTTGCGTGAGAACGAGCAACTACCGTTGAATCCCTGCATGTGTAAGCCGAAGGATCACTCATCACGGAACATGCTAACAGCATCTGAGCTCGAAGAGTCGAAAGAACGCTAGGTTCGTTTAGTTTACCTTTACTAGGCGCTTTACCAATGCTGTCGTTATTGATGGTCTATTGACTTGATGATAGAAAATTGGAGTAGGGTAAGCGAAGTCAATCATGTAAACAGGTGAGGTCTAAAACATTTGAGTTGAATGGGAGCCGAGTAATTGGACATACCAGTACCCTATAAAGTTATGCTAACTTCCGAGAGCCTTTCTATTGTTTAGGATGGAGGCTTCGAAGAAGAACTATGATAAGATCAGATCCCGTTTTGCCTGTATTATCAGATCTTATGCTTCTTTATAGTCTTAGGTTCAAGCTTCCTCGAGCAATCAGAGTCTACGGTGGTCCATCGGTTCTACTAGTCATGATAACATCGTTAAACCTCCACTCAAGAGGGGCCGGAGCTTTAAGCAACAATCGGCTGACGACGGATCGTGACTTATTTAGTTTACGGGTTTCTAACTCCAGTTCTTTCGGCGATTGGCTCAGACTGTGTATCAAATGATCTAAGACAAGTCTGAGGTGGCTCTGGATATATCCACCATGAAAACACTGACAAACTTCATGATGTAGCTTATACCTGACTTTGCTTTGTTTATCCAAAGAGGATGTCAAAGGTTTACGGGAGTGCTTGAAAACAACTGATACTGTTTCTTCTACGAAAGCTCCAGCTATTTTTTTCTCAATATACTCAGATTTTTAACTCCAAAGAAGTTGAAGTTAAAGAGACAACCTCAACTCTTAGCGCTGGAGACCCCTTAATTACCTACCATTTCCCGCTAGAACAGTCTGACACATTCCCCCAGGTTTCGATTGCCAATTGTCAGGCCATGAACCTGGAAGAGGCGTTGTCATTCCCCCGTGCGGCTCTTGGCTGAGATTAAGCCAGCGGAGGGGTCCAGGTCCAAATCATCAAATTTAGAAATCCAAATCTGGCCTCTCTCCCTTTTACCAGACTTTTCACCATCCATCATCAACTGCGACACAAGCACAAGCACAGGCGCAACGACGCACAAGCTCTCACTATTCCCAAAAAGAAAGAGAAACAGAAATCTACAGCGCATATTTCTTGCATTCGATTTGTTTCTTGGGGCGACTCTTGTACATGTACTTTGCTGTACTCCGCCCCCATCTCCACCAATCGCCGCTCTCACGTCTGCAGTTTTCAGGTATCCCCTAAGCTGCCCGGTTTCTTGCATTGCGTCGCCCCCCGTCATCATCAACTCACGATTCGGTACCGGTACCTACACCTACAGCACGCTTGGCTGCAAGAAGGAACAGAAGAAGTGAGAGACGCTGTTAATCTGGGCTGCACCGACGCCTAAGCCCCTCACCAGTGGCACCGCAAATAGAGCCCAGCCCGATACACCCGTTTGCCCAGTCTCGCCTTGTATCACCAGAGTCACTTGATCTGACCTCCCCCACTACCGACTCGCCTTGTCGCGCAAAAAACGAGACAGGTTAGATACCTTCTAGCCTCTGTCACTCGCTGTCGACTATCACTAGGAAGACCCTGGCCCAAGGGTCGTTGATCGTCGCCTTCTGCTGCCATTTGCAAGCCTCGCAAGCTTCTTGTTCGTCGTCTTGGTCGTGCAGCGTAGCCCACCTGGCTTCTGTCCTGCTACTTGCTCATCGCTCCACATCAGCCCACGGGTCGATCACAAGAGAACCACCAGTACCAGTCGCTCAGCTTTATCGCCGACCGCCCTGTCTTTTTGACCTCCTCCTGTTCGGATCGGACCTTGGTTTGGGTCAATTGCTGCAACCCGTATTCCCATTTGCCTCTAGGGTGTCCTTTTTTGGACCACCTTAGAAAACGTCGAACAAGGTGGATTCCGCCCAAGAAATCGTGGCATCTCCCGGTGCCTTACAAAACGTCACGTCCTACCTCAACGGGGCGCTGGCTAACCTCTCGTCTGCTTTTCAAGATTCGAGCGGATACATATCTGACACTCTCGGCGTACCTCCTACCGTTGTCTACAGCAGCCTCGCTGTCCTGCTCGCCGTCCCTTTAACAATGTCGAGATACGGCTGGTCCATCGGCCGCGAACAGATTTCGCCCTACAGTTCTATGCCCAGCGGCGTCCCCGCTGTCACCGACGACGATTTTAGCTACATCACATCTCAAGATCTTGATGGCGTCACCGAGGATCGATACTATCCCAGATCTCACTCGACTGCACCCCCACCAGCTCCAGAAGACGATGTCCTCCTTATCAAGAATCGCGGCATCACATATCCCGCTCACTTTCCCGCATATGCGATTGGAGATGGAAAGTTGCGGGTGATAGACGTCAAGGACCGGGTTGGTCTGATGATGGAACTTCCTGAGCGAGGAACATCACGCATCAAGCTTCTCTACAAGGGAAAGCAGCTCAAGGACCCTATGGCGCCAGTACGGGACTATGGTGTTAAGAACAACAGCGAGTTGATGGCGGTCATGCCCGAGATTAATGATGTCAGCAGTGGCTCAGAAGAGGAGATGGTGATTGTCGATGCCCCTAGAGAAGATAGGAAGACTCGCCGCCGCAAGAAGAAGCGTGACAAGAAGAAGGGTATCGCCAGTGATGGTGACTCCTTGTCAGGCAGCCCTCGAGACAGCGCCTCTACTTTCGACCACCCCAGATCACCTCCAGCACCACCCACATCTTCTGGCGCAACCAGCGGACCCATGAAGGTTCTTGACGATCTTGCTGTTGAGTACCAAATCAAGTGGTTGCCGTTGTGCTCCGATTACATTGCGTCGCCACCTTCTGACCCCAAGAAGCGAGAGGAAGACCACCGAAAACTCTCTGAGAGCATCATGATGCACATTATGTTGAAACTAGACGGCGTCGAGGCTGAAGGCATGCCCGAAGTCAGAGCGCGAAGGAAGGAATTGGTGAAGCAGGTCCAAAAGACATTGAAGGATCTTGATATTGCAAAGGAATCTTGAGCCCGCGGTTAAGCGATGGCGTTGATGTTGAGTGCAAAAGATTGTCTGGTTTGAGTGCAGGCGTTACTGGGAATACTCCATTATTCGACTACCTGGCCATTGCTCTTGTTATAGAACAAGCTGTACAATAGATTCAAGGATTACCTTGACCATGATGACCACCATAGACAGCATTGAGCAAATTGGTACATTTAATTTGGAATCTTGAGTATCACCATGGTACACAGACCCCTGTCATGACTTATGATGTAAATCCCCAATGATGGTGCTAATGCCATGGATGTCTTGGAACAGCCCGATCTCTATCATCACGTGCGAACCATTCTAGAATCCGACACTCAAAAACTGCATGATTTCCAGTGGGCGGCCCGGCAATTCCTCGGCTCAACCCTCTAGGGCTAACAGACCTAAGCGGGAAGGAGTCGCTCGCGGTGAAAGGTTGCCTTTGCCCCTATAGGCTAGCGCGGTTTGCTCACAAGGCACAACGAGCCCTCAAGCGGTCCTTGGATTTTTCGCCCGTCAATCACTATCGCGACCACTTGCACCCAACATTCGAGGGACGACTAACCCCAGCAGCACAGCAAAATAACAAATCTTCGCCGACCGGTTTGAGGATTTGAGCTGCCCTTCTTTCCTTTTCTTTAATTCCCCCCAGAAAGACGGTTACGATGTCGAGCTTCGAGCAAGTTGTGAGTACCGACTGAGACAACACATCCATTCACAATTCATATTGTGACTTGAGGCAAAAGACGAGCTGCGGGCAGCCGGGAAGCATTGGGCATGGGATTGAGGATGCTTTGGGATCTCAGTTATCAGCGCCTGCTGGTGCTGTGAACGCCGCTCGTCGTTTGCTTCACGTGGGAATATTGGTCTTGAAGACGCATTTCGCTGACCGTTGTGTGCGTTGAACAGGTCGTCATCGATGGCAAGGGCCACCTCCTTGGCCGACTCGCCTCCATTGTCGCCAAGCAGCTCCTGAGCGGCCAGAAGATTGTTATTGTCCGCTGCGAGGCTCTCAACATCTCTGGCGAGTTCTTCCGTGCGAAGCGTATGTCTACCCCACGACACCACTCCGATCTGTGGCCGAGCATCGTCAACACCAAAGCGATGCCACTCCTAGGAACACCAAGCTGATTATGCCAACAGTCAAGTACCACGCCCACCTCCGAAAGATCACCCGTTACAACCCCACCCGCGGTGGTGAGTCGAAACCGTACCTATACACTTGACCACAGTCATTGACTCGATACAGGTCCCTTCCACTTCCGCGCTCCCTCCCGAATCTTCTACAAGGCTGTCCGTGGCATGATCCCCCACAAGACCGCCCGTGGTGCTGCTGCTCTCGAGCGCCTCAAGGTCTTCGAGGGTGTCCCCCCTCCCTACGACAAGACCAAGAAGGTCGTCGTTCCCCAGGCTCTCCGTGTTCTCCGACTCCAGCCCGGCCGCAAGTTCTGCACTGTCGGTCGTCTGTCTAGCGAGGTTGGCTGGAAGTACGAGGATGTCGTTGCTCGGTATGTTTTGCTGTATGAAGTTTGACTTGGGACATGACTAACTCTACTCAGATTGGAGGAGCGAAGAAAGGCCAAGGGCGCTGCTTTCTACGAGCGCAAGAAGATCGCTGCCCGACAACTGGCTGATGCGAAGAAGAACGCTTCTGTCAAGGAGGAAACCGCAAAGGCCCTTGCCAACTACGGCTACTAAGCTGGCCAAATCCCTCGACATGGGATCTTGCCGGTCTAGGTAAACTTGGCAACGTCTATCATTTCTCGTGCGTTTCATTAGAATGGCGCGGCGGTTCAACAAAGGGATTTACTTGATTTGCTGAGTGATGGCAAGGGTGGCTCGAGGAGTAGATGTCGATTCCCCCCAAAAAGAATGTTCTAAATGAAAAAAAGTCCCTCTCCGATCGTCGAACCCACATTTGCACTGCCCTCAAGAAGGAATTAAAGCACAAGAGACCGACAATCAACAACACCATGATGATGACCGAGACTTTGTGTGTGGAGACTCTTTCGAACCTTGGGGCTCTGTGATGAGGCTTTGATGAATAGATAGGGATGTTTTTCGTTGATGGGCGTTTTGAGGGTTCTGGAAGTTGACGTCTTTCTCCCGTTGATCATCCAAGGACGCCAGAGTTCGGCGGACGGGTTTTATGAGTGATGGCGATTTGGAGGTGATCTTGTTACGCTTCCCAAACGGGGACAGGGTCTCGCATTTGCACAATAGGAGTAGAAAAGGAAAGGCTCTTGTTTGATCAATTCGTTTTTACATGTGAATGTGTCTTTGGAGTTGACGTCAGAGCTCTGTGCTTCATGTCATTGTGTAATCTGATATTGGACGTCTACCACTAAGCTGGCTCGCTTTTGTCGACAAGCTGCAGCTCTTGTTGTAAGCCATGTCGACTGTGGGAGTGGCGCCTAGTAGCTGTCTCTAGCATCGGGTTCAGTAGCTTGCTAGTATACAACTGTCCATGAAACCTGACAGAACTTATTATATGAGATCAGGAACAGTATGATATGCGGCGTATTTCTTTTAGACGCATACATGTCCTAAACGAGATACGCAAGGTAAGGAAATACGAAGAATGAGCATATAAAACAATCAACCAACTTCTGAACCGCTTCTAAATACACTTCGTGTAGGGTATGAATGGTGGTGGCTCTGAGGGGTGTCATGTGCTGATAAGATAAGCTTTTTGTGAGGTGTCCTGAACAGCACCTCAATCCATACGGAGTACACCCAGCTGCACATAACCTTTCACTGCTAGCTCACATTCCCAACCGGTCACTCTTTTTAAGCAATTCACGTCTATACAAAACCACATAATAAGACATTTAAGGAGGAAAGAAAAACAAAACTCACCGTCACCATGTCGGACCTCACACATTTCGACCTCCTCCCCCTCCAGATGGACCCTCAATCCAAGGCCATCAGCTCTCAACAACCATCACGCACACTCAACGCTGAACTCGAAGCCCTCAACACCCTCCACCGCTCTCTCCTCAACGTCGATTCACCCACAGGCGCACCCCCTCCCCCCGTGCCCGTCAACCCCAAGCGCACCGCCCAAGTGACCAAGCTTCGCGACTCGGGCAACAACGAGTACCGCAAGGGCAAGTACCCCGAGGCGATCAAGTACTACACCCTCGGCTTCCAGATGGCCATGCAGCGACCCATGTGGGAGCCCTCGCAGCTGGTGCGAGAGGAGATCAGCAGCATTCTGGCGAACCGAGCGCAGGCGCACATGGCGATGCAGAACTGGGCCGAGGGCGCTGTGGATGCTCATGCGAGTGTTGAGGCGCGCTGGGTAGGAAATGCAAAGGCTTGGTGGAGAAGGGGAAGGTGTTTGGCTGAGATGGGAAGACTGGAGGAGGCGAGGGATTGGGTCAGGAGAGGACTTGAGGTTGAGGGTGAAGAAGGAGAGTTGGTGCAGTTGTTGAAGGATCTTGAAGAGAGGATTGAGAAGCAGGAAGCATGAATGGCCTGAGCTGTTGATTGCGATTTGAGTTTGGGGCGGCGGCTTAGGATAAAGAGGGGTGGGATTGACTTGTCAAATTACCCGAGACATGAGTTGACTTTGAGATCTGGGGCCAAGATGGAATTGGTCTCAGTTAGAGATGCCAGCAACACTGGCATATGGAATGTCTTTTTACATCAAGGGAATGCTTTGCTAGGTAATGGTTGCTATAGGAGTTTTGTTAATATCACTGCAACACATTTCATCGATTCACACAACCTGAGCTTCCTTTAGCCAGTCTTTTATTGCATACCATCTCATCACTTTCACGATAGAAACATAATCACGATAATGAGTTGGCGACTGTCGTCGGCATTTACTATAGCTCGTGTGTAAAACATGGCATCACAAATGCATCCAATGTAATCATACACTTCCAATTCCTCCACCCCGTACTCGCTGCGCCCGGGAAACGATATAAGGCAAAAAGCGAAACAGCCCCCCCTTTATCCGTGCCCTGATGATCACTTTCCTCCATGCGTTGCTTGCCATTCCTGCGTATCTTGACCAATGAATTTCCATCGCAGCATACCATTAGAGTAAAAAAGCAGAATAAAAGAGACATAAAAGAAAAAGAAGAAGAAAATGAAGTCCACAAGAGCTGATCGTAGTCCAGATTCTTCCCGCATGCCGTGTGTGTAATTCGTGGAAAAGGAGCCGTGGGTTGATGATGGGCTTGGTGAGTATAATTAGGGGGATGAGGCTGAGTTTGAGGCTCGTTATTTCCATCCAATTTCCCCCTGAAGGTTGATCATGGCGCAGTGTTTCATTCCTTTGCGAAAAAAGCGATAGAACCAAAGCGTTTGCTGAGGAAATCAAGACCAGAAAGACGAGATGATTTATATCGGTAATAAAAAATAAAAGAAGAATTCTCGTTTGCGTGTGGGGGGTATCTTATTCGCAAGACATTTGCTTTGTTTGTTTGGTTTGGTGGGATTGTTTCTTCTTCTTGTTTTCTGGGTTCTACTCCTTTTCGTTGAGCTTCTCGTTGAGGCTCTGGCCACGAGGTCGCATGACAGCGTCCTGGCCGCTCATTCTTCGGTCGAGAGCGCGCTCGAGCTTAGCACCGAGGGCGAGCTTGCTCATGGTGTCCGTCTTCTCGTCGGTGAGGGTGACGCGCTGGGAGGAGAGAGCCTTGTTCTCCATGCGGTCGAGGCCGGTAGCGATGTCGCGGATCTCGGCGTGAGCAGAGTCGGTTGTGCCGACGGTGGGAGACAGCGAGGGAGCCATGCTGTAGGTGCTGAAGCGGACCGAGTTGCGGTTCTTGGAGGTAGAGTCAGCGGGTTGGTCCTTTTCCTTGGTGGCTTGACGGTTGTGGTTGGGCTGGGTGTGAGCGTGCGACGAGACCCACGGCTTAGCCATGGTTGGGAGAGGTATGAGGTTGAAGTAGTTTTTGGGAAGAGACGAGACGATGGACGAGGATAAAAGAATGCTGGGCTGAGGGACGTGTGAGGCGACAGGGGAATGTATCAAGGTGGAAGTGATGTGCACTGCGAACAAAGACGGATGACGAGCAAGGTAGTATGGGCTGAACCAAGCGGCCGGAGAGGCAAAGATGTCACATTTCAGTTGAAAGGACAAGACAAGACAAGACAAGCAAGTGAGTGGTGACAGGACAGACAAGACGAGAGCATCGATCCGCATCTGCATCCATTCTCTCTACTCACTCGCTCGCTCCTCCCGGCCCGTTCGTCCCCATCACTCATCACTCTCAAAGTGGGCAGACACCAAACTAGAGGCGGAACTAGACGGGACAAGTCCCAAGCCTTTGAACAGGGGGGGAATAGAGGGACTGGACTGTAGTGTACGGATAGTGTAATCCATACGCAATAGAGAGAGAGATAGACAGAAGGAAAAGAAGATCCGAGCGGTCATAACATACCGAAGGGGCCATGATGGGCCGGGAAGAGTCCAAGGAAGCAGGCATGGTGATGTTTGATGCGACGGTGAGTTGCGGGTACTATAGGTGATTTATGAAACCGCGTAAGAGGGGAGGAGGTTTCGAAAAGAAGAGGAGAAAAGAGACGGAAGCCAGAGAAAGAGAGAGAAGACGAGAAAGTGGGTTGGCTAGACGTAATAGTTGATAGGTAGTGAAAGACGGGACGGAGCTATATGTAAAGGCACCCAAGTTAATTTAAATTGACTGCGTGCGCTTTGTCGTCGATTATATTAGCGTCCGTGTCTCTTCTTTTTGTCTCTTCACGAGTTTTTCTTTTTTCCTGTCAAAAATGGAGAAGAGAAGAAAGCTTAAAAAAGTCAGATTATGAAAGGGATAACCAAGATGGAGACAGATCTAAAAAAGAGAGGGAAAAAAAAGAGGGCAAGGGGGAGGGATCAGAGGGGAGAAGAGAGGAGATTTGGAGATTAAAGCAGAAAAGAGGCACAGGCACCACAAGGCCCAGGCACAAGTTCTCAGCGGTTGCTTGGAGGGGGGAGGCCAGGAGGCTTACAGGGGGTGTGGCACCCGAGGTAGTTACCTTAAACAGGAGGGCTAGGGGGGTTTTGATTCTTTGGGTTGGCTGCTGGCGGTTGGATCTTCAGTTGCAGGGCCTAGACTGCACTGGACGAAAGTGAAATTATGGTATGATGATGAAGAATCGAATCAAAATGATGCAAAAAAACACAGTAGACACAGACTGTCTTCATCTATTAGACTGCGATGGTATCAAGAAGCGCCGTTTCAAAACATCCAAGGATCAGGCCACGGACGATGGAGTCACTGAAGAAACTGCCCCTGGAACCGGTCCCGCCCTGTAAAACACAAGGGTCGTCGAATGGAGTCGTACAATACCCCAGGCCAGGCCCCAACCCAACCCAACCCTCCACCTGAAATCTCATGTATGGTCTGCATTTGAACTCGTGGCCACCAGGTTAATGTTTCCCTGTGCCTCAGGGGAGGGAGAGGGAGGGGCGAAAAATGCTACGTGAGATAAAAACACCAAAGAGAGGGAGAGGGTAAGGGCAATCTGGACAATCTTGATTGGAATGTGTTGATCTAGATGCATCCATCACGGAACGCCAGCTCACGTGGAAGCCACGCGATGGGATTGGATGACGATTATGAGTGGCTTGGAGGTTGTCGATGCCTTCAGAGAGATAATCAAGCCTGGTTCCGTCATTTCCACATGGGAAAGGGTAAGGTATGGGCGATGTCGATCATACATATCACACGTGGTTTCTGTTGGATTACGACTGTGACATTTTGGGAGGGTGGTATTCAACTGACGATAGCACATCACATCTAGTATTGCTGTAGCCTGGCAGCCCATTCCGATATCACACGCCAGATATGCATCTCATCACAGTTGTACTCCTACTGTCAGACTGAAAGCTTGTCGGTTCGAGATCCGAGGATTGACGTTAGTAGTCTACTATGTTTGAAGATTTGAGTTCCCGATTCATCTCGGTCGGTCTGAGGCGTCGTCGGAGGTGCCGTTGACTAAATGAATGGCACTTGTTTAGGACGGGACGGACGGTAGGTAGTAGGACTCTTGATTGATTGATGTGGCGCTGACTATTTTGGTGTTGACATTATCCATGCATCATAATCGTGTGGATATGAGTGATGATGATGCTTCAAGATGGAGGAATTGAAGGCGACGATCATGGCTGAATGAAGTATCTTATCGACATGTCTTGAGAAGTCAAAGTCTTCAAGACCGACGATTCCGACTTGATAGGTACTGGTAGTAATTGATTGTCAGGCCTCAAATGCCATCTCAATCTAGCGCATCGCCAGACCCGTCGACTCATGTTTCAGCTCAAAACCCAAAAAGACTTTTGCAGATCATCATCAACCCTTGTCTCGCCTCGCCTCGTCTCAGTCCAGTTCTTCATCAGGACCCGAACGCAACGAACGATAAACGGTGCATGACGGGAACCGGATGCTTCTTTCGCACGTGGCCTTTGGCCTGGGTCTTCCGAAGGGGACAACAAGAGCCGATAGCTTCCCCTCGCTTGGAACGCATCTCGGGCCGCAGGGTGGACTGATTTGGGCATGGCTGTGGCTTGGCCTGAAAGTTTATTCGAGTCTGTGTGTGAGCGGAGCTGGGATTGGTGACAGTGAGAGAGAGATATCTGACTTCATCATGATGTGATAGATACTGTAGTCAAGAGAATAAATATATTGTGATAAAAGAGTGAAACCCACGTCTATTGCAATAAGCTGCCGAGACTGAAACACGACGCTCTGCTGATACAGGAATACAAAACAATGACAGCCAAACCACCAGATGCACACACAATGACCACCACTCGTGTATATATCACTACCAATGAATAACCCACTCATCGCTTACTCTTGTGTCTCTTCTTGCTCGACTTGGCCTTGCTCGACGTGTACTCCATCCCAACCTTATATCCCGAGCTTGCGGAACTCGACTTTGACGTCGACGGCGACGGAGTGGACTCTTCCCCGGACGCAGGAAGCGAAAAGGCTGATCCGCGACGATGAGATTTGGTGGCGCTGCTGTACCCGAACTTGCGCGACGCTGACCCCTTCCGGATTTCAGAAAAGGTCATCTCAGGCGAAGCATCACGGCTCGAGCCTGAACGTGTCAGTTCTACACTCATAAACCAGATATCGGTTGAGGGACCTACCGTATTGAACACACTTGCTGCAACAGCCGTGATCACAGGTTGTCTCAACTGACTCGACAGAAAAAGACTCGGGGTTCATGGCCATTCTGCTCATGGGCATCGTGCACCATCCTTGAGTGTTTGGGCCCTGCTGGCACGAGCAGCACGTCCAGCTCCCGCCTTTGCTCTTGAACTGGCAGTTCTGGAGCGGGCAGTCGGACGTCGTGGGCTGGGCCGCCGCGAACGATATGTTGCTGCACGGCGTCTCATAACCCGTCTCGAGATCGATGAGCGCCGACGGGCAGTAGTGCCAGTTGATGGATGTGTGGGCGCAGGGATGGTGTCGAGGATGTCCGTGACACATTGTGACTGTCTGTCCTTTTTGTTCCTGAGAATAGAAGCAGTTATTCTTGCTCTGGAGGAGAAGCAGTTATCTCTGAGGATTTCTACCTGGTCTGATAGCTTCATCTTGGGGACTATTTATACGCCAACAGACCAGACTGACTAGACAGATCGACCTCTTTGGAACCGCAGGCCTAGTTCCTCCCCCTCAGCGAAGCAATTCTCATACTCAGAGACCAAGAGATGCACATCTCGAGTCTATCCATACAATTTGCACGCTCTGGGTTGAGGCGTCTGCAGCAGCGCAGCCCCATCGATCGTGTCCTCGAGTGCAGCATCATCGGGAGTGTGCGTTTGCGTTTGCATTTCCATGATCAAGTCTCCGATGAGGCAGAGACATGAAAAAATTTACATGGCCCAATGTCTCGGGGTGTGATCTGATGGGTCCTTGTGTAACGGGACTCGAGGCCATTTATAGGACGCCACAGGTGAGAGCCTGGTAATGAGGCTGTCGTAGTGGGAGATAGTGTGGTCGCACAGCATTGAGATTGTGAGATCGATGGTGATGAGATGTGATGAACCCGGTACTCTGGTTTTACGATTACTGATCTGGTGTGGATGAGAGTGACGACGGTATTGGTGTAAGAGCACGAATAATCGAGAGTACCTGGTATCTATTGGTAATAGATGAGGTTGGTCCGGCCGGGAGACCTTGGCACCGAGTACTCGGTCGACGGGGCAGCACATTCACACCTACAACCCATACAAAGGCACGGGATCTTGTGTTTCTACGAGCCCCCCCAGCGCGATCGAGGCATCCCATCCGTCCTTGTTCACATCTCGATTTAGACCCCTGGTGGTCTAATGCAGGCAGACGTGATCTGGTGAAACAGAACATGTCAGCCTCGGGAGGACTTGACGAGAAGCCAATGGTCACGAGGCAAGTCTCCGAGTTGATGCGGATATGAACTGATTTACTGGGATAATGCCTGTTGACCTGAGGATGGGGAGCCGAAGGGGCATCGTTGAGGAGATCGTGACGTGAACATGACATAGAGTCTCACTTGGGCGGAGATATGAGAGTAGAGTGGTAAACGTGTTGACAAACTAACTATCTCCAACGAACTTCTCCTAGAAACGACTCATGATTCACCATCCCAAGGGTATCTTTTCCTCCTCCTCGCATCGCATACCAAGTTAGGAGAAATAATCTCTCGAGGCAATACACGACTTGCAGCAGATATGCTCGCACCGATACGTGCCCCCCTCGCCAATCATGACACAACTGCACCGCCCACCAACATTCCACGTCTTGCCGCACCAGCAGCAGTCCCAGGCCTGGTTCTTGGCCTCAAAGGGGCAGTCGGCGAGTGGGCACTTGGGCAGCGTGTAGCCCGACGGCGGAGGGTATGGGACGGTCTGCTTGGTCGTGCTGCTGCAGGGGCGGCGGTGAGAGAGGCCGACTGGACAGTAACTTATGTGTGTTGAGACATGCTCGCATGCGAGACGGAAGGTGATTCGATGGCACATGATGTTTGACTTTCTGTACGAGTTTTCTTCTTCGACTTGGACTTGGACTTGCAGCTGTTGACATTGCTTTGTTGTGATGGCGAACTGCAATCTCAATCACATCCTCGCAGCAAGAGATATTGGGTTTTATGTATTCCCAAATATCTTGCAGCTTTTCCGATCTAAATTTCTCAACCGGCTCTCCTTTCCCTTCCATCAAGATGCCATCAGCGCAACTCCAACCGCGATAGAACCCGAGGGCGGACATGGCTGCAAAAATCTCGAGATACTCATGAGTATCGGTGCCAGGCGGGCGGAGTTAGGAGCTCGGAAGTGTGTATGGCAAGTCGGCTTGGGGGTTGTAGTATAGCTGACGAGTGTGATTCCACCATGACCGCGAGTTTGTGATATATCGTAAGAGGAGAAAGTATCTCCTCAGACATGTCATGAACAAGGCGACCCTCGGAATGTATCGTACTGTGAAACCTCAATCGGTTATTGATACTCGTGCCGGAAAAGTGTTACTCAACCGTCCTTGATTCCATGATCTTCCTTCTCATCTGCAGAAGTTCGTCGATGCTTCGTGAATCACCGAGATTGGCGACATGACGATCAAATCTGCATGTAGTCAGCAAACCAAGAAACAAGAATAAATGGGATAATAATAGACCTGCCGGAATGGAAACGCCATGAGATGTAGCCTGCATGAATTCGCACATGTGGCTTCGTGGGCTACACCTGCAGCCGTCCACAGCGTCGGACTATATGCAGCTGAGACATCAGCTGCAACTCAAAACCCATGAGGAGGGCCGAAGAATATCGGCCTCGAGGTCTCGCCTCGTCAAGTTTCGTCGGCTGTACAGTTCTCGCAAACCTGGTGCGTGCAGTACATCCTCACATCTGCAGATCGAGAATTGAAGCATCGGCAGTCAAAGTTCCCACGCCTCCCACACATGCAGCACTTCCACTGCCCGTTGAGATCAGCGAGTCGACACGCTCCAGAGCGACAGCCCGGATCAATCAGGCACTGGCTCATGGTACATGGATCGCTGGGATCTCCGCGGGGAGAGCTGGTCGAGACGCTGCCACACGGTGCGAGGGGCCGGCTGGTGACGGGATCGTAGTAAGCAGCCGCGCAATACGAGTAGTAGTAGTTCAGGCCTGTTGGGCGGTAGCAAGGGGGCACATGGTGGTAGTGGAGGTAGTGGGCGATACACATTGCTGTGGCACACATGTATGTCTCAGGAGGGTGATTCAGCTGCTGGGAATACGATCGAGTAGAAGGAATCTGGCTGCGTGATCGGGAGGCGAGAGTGAGTGTTTGCTGGGAGAAGCAAGGTGACGTGATCTGTATGTAGAGCAGAGGAGGATCAGGCTGGACTTGGGAGCGAGAGTGCTGGTGAATGATATCACAGTCTATGTAGGTCGTTATTGGTCAAGACAGAAAGGATATGCAGGTCTAGACGAGATGTATGCGCGATCGATGTGACCAGTAATGTTTCCATCAGATAAGTAATAATAAAAGAGCGTAACGGAAGGCCACCCATTGAAGAAGATGCAAGTCTTGTAAGAACCACGGCCAAGGACGGACTGTTATCAACAAGTACAAACAGTGGACTGATTGATGAACCACTTAATGTCTAACAACACTCAACCCCAGACAAACTCAAACAGACAAGAGACGAGAGGCCCGGCCTCTTTATGCTTTGCTCAATCGTATCACGAACCGAGCCAACTGCAGGGTCCCGACCGTCGCTTATACCAAAACCACCACCAACCCATAGGGCTGAAGGAGGCATGACACTATTTTTTCAGCACTGACCAGCAGAACCAATTGGACCAGACCGAAAGCAACCGGTGGAACATTGCTTAAACAGTCATGGTGCGACGAAATCTTAATTCAAGAGAGCTGTAAGCGAGGCCCCGGGTTAACTAATGGCCCAGTTGTTCGGCGTTGAGAGTTAGACGCGAGGGTTCTCCGCAAATAGGAGTGATCAACTCTATCAGAGAGAAAAATGAACTGATCCCGTTGATGCCCAAGAGTGACACCTAAATTAAATTGGCTAGTTTCACACGATGATCCTCGTGGAAATCTCGTGGCGTTTGTCATTTTTTCTCGGTTCGGTCACAAGGAGCAATTGCTCCCCCCCATCAACACTTTCAATATTACCACGTCAACCATTTTAATATTATCATTTCACAGTGGTATCGTTCTTGGCGATAAACGATAACAGCCGATGTCACTATATCCCGCGGAAAAGCAAGATTTTGTTTACAAGTCGTCGTCTCTAGTTGGGGCGGAAGCTAGCAGGACCCGGGGCTTACTCAGGTCTCACTAAACACATGGCTTTCTCGTGGTTGTGTTGCCCTGACCATGTTGGTTGGGGCACGGGAATTTCTGGATCAGCGTGGGTTTTTATAGCCGAAGACAGGGCCAATCAAGCAGATCGAATCCCGATATAGTGCGTGGTCGGAGTCTTGGTCTTTGGACTGTTATTCCGCAGATATCTCTTCGGGGTGCGGAACTCTTTTGGTAGATGGATAGATGGCTTAACTAGTCAGCGCTTATATATCGAGACTAAACGTCCGTCGGAGAATATTAAAACTGGAGTTGGATGCGTTATGACGTTTGCCTGGCGAGTGTCTGGTCTAGAACGGAGTTCAGAAGTGTAGTCCTTACGCTCAGGTCTATATGAATGGCTACAGGTCCATCACGCAATGAATAAAACAGGAAGGTATAAAGATAGTATCGATAATCAGTGGATATTACATCTGAGCAGGTTGGATTAAAGGCGCAGAGCTAGTTGCTGAGGCTGAATATTGCTACCGTCTGTATCACACCCGGCCTCATGGCCACGATACACAACCGCAATTCTAGAACATCAACTACGCTAATCCGAGGATCGCAGGATCGCGATTAGTTATCCGAGTATACTCGAGGTTCCGAGGAATGGTCTGATGTTCACCAATGGCTGAGTTCCTCCGACCACGATGCAACAACACCACAGTCTCACAAGCTCAAACATCAGGGACATATACCTCCTCAACAGCGCCGCAAGAGCTATTTATTCACCATGCAAGGGTACTATCACTTTGTATGCTACAACAAGCGACACTCCGCGACACCACCCCACCGGATCCCACCTCCGGCTCCCCGGGGGACGTACGCCCAAGCGAAGTCTGATCATCGAGACAAGGATATTCTGTAACTGCCGTTCCAATGAAAGAGAAGTACCGCAGTACCTCTCGATATCATCTGTGTTCCTCGGAGGCTGATAGACCTTGTCAACGAATTTGTTGTCATTCGTGGTAGTGACTAGCAGGAAGCAGCTGACTCTGGCCTCGATAACTAATAGAGCTGAAGAAAGATCGAAGAAAAGACCAAACTCTTAATTCGTGGTTCTCGGAGCATTCTCCAAATGATGTAATTGGCAAGCTGCAATCGCCAGCTCATTGGTTCTACATACTTCGCGCCATCCATCTTGAATAACACACCCATATACTCGAGACGTTGGGAAACCGAATCAGGAAGGTGTATCAACACTCATTTGCCGTCCATATTGTTGATACTGACGAGCCAAAGACACGAGATATCTCGGCAGCTGTGACTTGGGCACTGACTGTTGCTGAACTGTCACTCCTGCATGGGCAACCGGTCTCAAACGAGCCGCACCGATTATGAGGATGTAGGCACAACGTACGAAAGACTGGTTGAGGGGTCGCTTTGACTTGAAGCCAAGGACATCTTTACTGGACAAGAGGCAAGTGAGGATGGATCAGGTACAGAAGATGATCAAGTTAGCCGATGCATCAAGAACGAGACCCGGTGGAACATACAAATCCAGTTCAGGTTTGTCGACAGTCCCAGCAGCTTTCAAGGACTTGGCGGTAGAAGGTTCAGCGAACCATCACTTGTAGGCTGTATCGATCTCGACTTCACCATCACATTACAGGAGGCATGTCTAGACGACTTACCTTACACAACGTTCGAAGCACGGAGAGAATGTAGACTCGGTCATTCAAAAGACAACAACGTAGCTTGACCACCCAGGGGATGGGTGACAGGACCAAGGTTGCCGCGACATCCCCAGGCTCCTCAAATCTTGACAGCACTGCGATACGTTGTGATGGCAGAGCGGCCGAGAGCGACACAACACAAATACGTATCGCCAACGCACTTGATGGTAAGCGCCGATAAGATTGAAGTTGCTGACATCGCATCTCACGATCTAATATCTCACAGTCTCAGTGTGTAGGGTGAGGTGCCAAACACAAATATCCTCGGCACACTTAATATTTTCGTACAGTATTTGCATTTGACGGCTTCATTTGTCAAGACTCAACATCTAAGATCAGCCTTGATACTTAGTTGCCCATTCATATCATTTACTCTGTTAGTGCTGAGACTGGCTGACGTGATATATCCCAGTTGGTGGTCAGAACACCAGCAAATACAAATAGACCAAGACTTCTATGAAGAAAGATAAATATCGATGAGTGTTCCTCACTCAATATCAACCACTGTGAATAAAAATGGCCTTCAAACACTTTGGCAATCTCCCGCTGGAGTTGCAGATGAAGATATGGCAGACTTACACGCACCCCGGCCCAGCTATGCACATCTTTGACGTCTGTTTTCCATCTTGGAAGGGTGACGAACGTGCTGAAAGAGCTTTCGAGACGCAGAGAAAGGATAAAGCTGGAGAAGCCAAGCTCAACAACTACAAAAAGATGGTATTTCTCGACCGTCTCGAGAATGTCAGGTCAAAGGCTGCATTCGACCCAAGCGTGTACCACGCAACAGCCACATCAAGACTCATCAGCCGCCTCGCCGAACAAACCGTCAGAGAGATAGAGGCCAGACAGGGTATGAACGAGATCAGTCTCCCCGGTAGAGCCCAAAAGGTCTCTATCCCTGCATCCGACGTCCTCATGCTTCGCTTCCGGGAAGAGCCCTCCGACCACAACGACCTCGCTACGGAAACGCTCCTCGTACCACCGCCAATCAAAGACATCCTCGAGAACCAATGGTCACCGGAAATAGCCACGGCATTACAGAATGCCAAAAAGGTCGCAATCGACGTTTCCGAAACGTGGGCGACAGGGTTGTACGGCGAGCTAGGGCTTGAAGAGGTTGCATTCTTCGCTTGCACGATCCAGAAGGGTCTGGAGGTGCTATACCTCGTGGATGAGTGCACGGGGAGGTGTAAGCAGTGTGGTAGACAGAACGTCAAGATGGGCGAGATTCGGAGCCCGGATGCGCTTTGGAGAGGTCTGCGGACGAAGAATACGGATGATCAGGAGAGACCTGGGGATATCGTGCATGCAATATCGAGACGCTACGTCGAAGCGCGGAACCTTGCGGCGCTGGGATGGGAGGAGGAACATCCATCGTACATTTTCGCATGTTTGATCGATACTGCGATCAAGAGTCAACAAGAGGGCGAAGATAGAGGAAAGTTTCAAGGCGTCAGAGTCTTGGTAGTTGAGGATGAGTGATCACGGAGGGACAGAAACTGGATAATGGTTTGATGCTAAAGAAACAGCCCGCTCGACTTTTGCCGGGATATACCATAACGCCGTACATGTTCTACCACTTATATGCATTTAAAATCTGCCCTGTTAGCTGTGTTTGTCAAGCGCACAAGAAGTACTCACCTTATCTCGTATGATCCTGCTCTCGTCATGTACCGCACCCACTTGACGCTCGAATAATTACTCTTCTCAAACACCTTAAGATATCGTACCAACAGTCCCGAACTCGTAAACATGAGCAAGCTAAAGTTCATGCTCAGCGGCGGTCGACTCCACGCGCGCTGGTTCGTCATGCTCGTCAGGATAGCCTCGGCGCTGAGGACGTACTCGCTCTGACCGGTGAAGCGACCAATCTTCCACACGATGTTGTTCTCGCTGGGCTCGTACTTGGCTTTGCCCTGCGTGCAGCGCTCGGTGATCTTTGCGGTGTTGAGAGGCGTTGGGATCTTGACGACGACGTTTGTGGCGAAGAGCTTGGAGCCGAAGTTGGCTTTGACACCGATACTGTATTCTACCTTTGATCGACCGACTTCGTTGACGATGGCGTGGACTTTGAAAGGGAGGTTGACGTTCTCGGTGGCGCGGTATCGCATGAGCTCGAATTCACCGTCGGGAGGAACGAAGCTGATGATACGGTCGGCGTCGAACTTGCCCAGCTTAACACACTGGTGGAATTGACAATCCTCAAGAGTGACACTACCAGCCGCTGCTTTTGTCGCCTTTGTACCCATCTTATTTCCGCTCGGGAGGCTCAGCAACCCATCGTTATCGAGAAGTAGACGATCGTTGAGGCCAAATTTACACTCGGGCGTGCCGGAAAGGTAAGCGCGCATAATGATCTGGCCCGTAACGTCTGCGCGCAGGACAGCGCCGGTGGCGGACATGAGCAGGTTGACGTCCTCGATCACGTCGACGAAAGCCTCATTCTTACGGTACTTTACGTCTGCCTTGCGCCAGGAGAGGGCTCCGGTGGCTTGCATCGTGATCTTGGAGGTGTTTTCGGCGCGGGCCTCGGACTTGACGCCTTCGGTGGTGATGTACATCTTGAGGGTGTCTGTTTCTGTATTTTGAGGGTATCCAAAGTCGATAATTTCTAAGAACGTCAGCGCCATTGCAGTGCAGAGTGGTTGGAGCAGAACATACCGTCTAGGAGCTCATATACCAGGACAAAGTTATTCTTGACAGCCTCCTCATCAAACTTGCCAAAGTACCCCTTGCCCAGCTGGATCAACCTGTAGAGAAACTCAAACACAAGAGCGGCATTTGCATTGCTCTTCGTAATGGCGACGAGGTAGATATTCTCATGCTTGACATGGCTGAACGTTGTGCTTCCGAGGGTGAGGATTGGCGATCGGACCTGGGCGTTGGAGATGACCTGGATGCGAAAGACGTCTGCGAGGCGAGGACGACAGTCGTTCCGGAAGGCGCGGAAGATAAGGTTCTCGCCCTTCTGGTTGAAGACCAGAACACCTGACAACATGGTCGCGGTTTGAGGGTGTTTGGGTTGGGTGATGGGAAAGTCTGTTGGAGCGCCATGGGAACCTAAGATAGGAGGTGTCTGTGGTGGGGGATTCTGCCGGGGAGCTTGAAAGCGGTGAGCGAGTCGTGGAGATTACCAATGCCGTGGTTTATTGAGATGTGTCAATTGAATGTGAGATACAGCGTCGTTTGCTTGATGATATATTGTTTGTTTTAATTGATTTCATCTTTTCTGCGCTGCTTGTCGTTGTTGAATAGTGTTTGCTGCGCATTAATTGACGCTGTATCCCGTTGGAACCGGTGAACAAACCCGCTGAAACCTAACTTAGTTGTGGAACAGTGCCTCAGCTTTGAACCAACTGACTTTACACAATCATTACATCTTTGTTAGCTGTGCCGTTATTCACATTATGACTCAAACTGTAACTCAAATAAATGTACCTCTACTGGATAATTCCCCCGGACTCTATAGCCTCGTATAAAGTGGATTGCTTGGCATCGCCAAAGCTCTCCGCGTCATCAGCGGCGCCCCTCAAGAAGCAAGAAAACATAAGACTTTAGAATAGGATGCCAAAATAAACTTTACAGAGACTCCCCGAAACTTAGGCTAATATTTTTATCACTTACGATCGAGGTCTTGAGTGTTCCCTCCCGTAAACCGCTAACCTTCTCATCTCATCTTCACCCTCCCCGATTCTAACTTGATCTTAGCACAATATAATTAACTCTATCTTTTAATCAAAGTAATTATAATGACAGAAGTCACAGATTTCCCTCAATCTTTTGTCCGACCATGGAAAGAACTTCTCCAATCGCGACGCGACGAGCAACAAGATGACTTTCCAAGCTACTACGTCAATAATATCGACTCCCTCATCACCACCAGTTCACCCAAGAAATTATACGTTGGAACAGGCCACTCTATATACACGCGCGCTCTTCTACCAGCAATTCTCAGCGCCAAATACTCGGTTCAATTGATCACCTGCTACTGGGCTGCCTCACCCTCACTGGACGCTATACGCGACACATTCGAGAAGCTTGCGACGGCGCGTATTGAAGCCAACGTCAAGGAACCTCTACGGATTACGATAGGGTTCTCATCATTTGGACTATTTCAGAAACTATTCCACCCTGCTTCTCGAGAGGGATATATCTATGAGCCGTCAAAATGGCCTAAGCTGGGCCTGCCCGACCAGCAATTGCTACAGAATGCCAATATCGACCTTACTGTGAAGAGCATCTTCTTCACGCCGCTGAGCGTTATGCACCCAAAGTTTGTGATCGTCGACGGAAAGAGAGCCTGGGTCCCAAGCTGTAACGTCAGCTGGGAGCGATGGTTCGAGGGTTGCGTCGAGGTCGAGGGTGCCATTGTTGACCGTCTGTTGGCGTTTTATGATCGCGTTTGGGGACACAATGACGAACTTCCACGGCCATCTGACTCGCAAGAGGATGTGCAGATTGATCAAAGAGCGCCAGATCGACTACAAGCCAACAGTGAAGTGTCGGCAACACAGTCCATTGACTTTCCTGCCACTGGCCCAGTTCCGACCATCTTTCTCCCTTCGCCGCATCATCGGAACCCTCGGTTCTCTTTCTTCCCATTCCTATCGCAGACAAATCCGCCAATGACGCCTCTGAACGCAGCACTTCTTACTCTGTTCAACAACGCACAGCGACGGATCACCATCCTCACTCCTAACGTCACTTCTTGGCCTGTCGTTGAGAGTCTGTTGGACGCGCTCGCACGTGGAGTCGATGTTCAGATCAGAACCAGCAAGGGTATGATGCTAATCGAACAGCTAGTCACGGCTGGCACAACGACATCCTGGTGTTTGCGCAAGTTTGTCCAGAGATATAATGCTCTTGTCAACCAGCCACGATCATCGGATACTGAAGCGCAATCGCCTGCGCCCGGCAAGCTGGAGATCTTTTACTACAAGCAACTCGACGCCAGACGCGACCAAGAAGACGAACCTGTCGTTAGTCACTTCAAGATGACTCTCGTTGACGACGAGTATTTAGTACTGGGCTCAGGCAATATGGACAGGGCAAGTTGGTGGACGAGTCAGGAAATCGGATTACTATTCTATGTCCCTGGCTTTCAAGGCCAACACCTCTGGAACGATGTCCTCGAGAAGCGCACAGAAGTCTTGTTTCAATCTGACCACCCCAAGCGATTGATCTGATCACCCCTACGATTGACCCGATTACAGCTCAGCCGCCTTGATCTTCTCCCAAACGCTCACAAATGTCGACGGATCGTTGGCGCCATGGAGTCGGAACCGGTCCTGAAGAACAAAGTCAGGCACACCACTGACACCGCTGTATCGTGCCTCGCCCGCAAGCTTGTCAACCTCTGGGCCACCCTCGTCGCTCTCGACAATAGCCTTCTGGAACTCATCCTCGGGGATTCCCGCCTCGACAGCCACGTTTCTCAAGGTGTCGTAGCTGGTAATGTCGTCGTTCTTCTCAAAGTACGCAGCGAAAAGCCCATCGAGCGCCTTGCTCTCGGCATCCTGGCCGTGCTTCTTGGCAAGCTGGACCAGTCGGTGCGAATCTCTCGAGTTTCCAGTCTGTCCACCGAACTTGAAGTCGATTCCGAGGGACTCTCCGACACCCTTCAAATGCTGGTGCATCTTGACCACGCGGTCTCTTCCAAATTTCTCGAGGTAGAACTTTTCTTTGGACATGCTCGATGCAGGACCTCGGGCCCAATCAGGCGCCAGCTGGAAAGGCTTGTAGCTGATGTCGAAAGTGTCGTTTGAGTCGGGGTACTTCTGCTCCCACAGGCGCTGCGCAGCCTGGAGCTGTCTGCGCCCGACATAGCACCAAGGGCAGACGGTGTCGGAAGTAACAGTAACTTTGAACTTTGTCATATTGATGGTGCGTAAGATGATATCTGATGGATGGGGCTGTATAGGGAATGGTTCGGGGCAACCCTGTCGACTTATAAGTGAAGCTCTTTGCTCGTTGTGCGACGTGATCGCATCAGCGGCTCACGTAATCAGGTCGGCGCCGGCGGAAAGTTGAAACCCGCTTTTCTCGGAGTTGGTGGGATACCGAGGCCGGACTGTGGATCCTTTGTTACACGGATTGAGATTTTCTGGTTCCATTACAAAAGATGTGATACGTGCTTTGAAATGCGCTCGGAGATTGGAAATGAAGAGATTGCGAAGGATTCTCTTTGTGTTACGAACCTCGGCTCGGTGCTTCGCTACTTCGTTGAAGGACATGACGTGGCGATGAAGGGTAACATCTACTGTGATCGGCTTTCAAGAGCTCACTATAGCGCTGCATGAGGATGACGCCAGTCTGTAGGGCTGAACTAAGGAGCTAGATGGGCGATCTGATGCAGGGAGGGACCCCCAGGTTAGCCCAGTTTGTCTGGGGACAGTTTGACTAGCGACATACGTACATCACGGAGGCATGCAGTCTTCGGTGCTATTAATAGCAACAGCCTCAAGTAGAGGCACTTGCGTCTT